AGAATGTATTGTTTGCACAGATACTATTATTGGTCCTCAGGTTGAATTCAGGGGCCAAAATTTGTGAGGCTTCCTTTACCTTCTATACCAGATACCCTTTTATATCACTGATTTTTCACCTTAGGGTCTTGCTTATCTGCCTTGGCCTTTCGACACACTAATTTTATAATTACATATCACAAATAGCAAACAAGATAGGCACATATAACCAGAGCCACACTTTTATTGGCTAAGATACCATTTTCATGAAGCTTTTGCATGGGATACCCTACTAATACTATCTAATGTCGGCTTCCTGAGTTGCTAAGATTACACACATGAGGGAGTGTAATTGCTCATTTTTAATTGCTGGTCTTAAATTAAAAGAAGGAAAGAGTACGTTACCAATTCAATGAGCATTAAGTCCCTTAAATTGTGAGTTCAAGCAAAGTGTTGGCCACATGATAATAACAAAATAATAGAAAACATTAATAAAATGTTATCATCAGGCATACTTTGAATGAATGTGGTAGGTTGGTTCATAAATTGAGCTATATAACAGGCCAAGGTAGGACTCCAGTCTGTGAACCATACCTTCTCAGAAAGCATCCAGTTTGTAAACATGGGAGAATGAGCTATTTCCAAATGGATGTTGGGGGGGGGGGGGCGGGGGGTACAAGTAGGAAGGCCAAGGGCACAGGTGACTCCCAATCCCCCAATTTTTTTTGACTAGTCCTCTGTAGATAAGCAGAAATGTTGGGGCTGGGAAGGTGGCTCAGTGGTACAGTGCCTGCCTTGCATGCATGAGGCCCTGTCAAATCCCCAGCACCACATAAGCAAAAAGAAAAAAAAAAAGCTGGAAGTGGTGCTGTGGCTCAAATGGTAGAGTGCTAACATTGAGCTGAAGAGCTGAGGGACAGCACCCAGGCCCAGAGTTCAGGCCCACAGGACCGTATCACCCCTCCCCACTAAAAAAAGCAGAAGGGTGAACAGTGTGAGGGAAGGGGTTAAGCTAGCAACTAGCTAAATCTTGCAATGTGAAGTCCACTGTCCTTTTCTTGTACATGGAATCATAGGCAGTATTTAAGGATTGTCTTTGAACAATTAAAATAAATACTGAAATTGTTGAAGGCACAGGAAGCATGAGGTAAAGCACTGAAGGAAACCTCCTGTTACCAGAGAGAGATTTCTTCAGGACAGCCCACAGAGCTCATGCTTTGATTCCTAGCTTTTATGGAGTCAAGATGAGAGAATCTCCTTTGAAGTCAGCTCTGGTTGGCTTCAACTCAGTTCCTGAGTTCAACACCTAATATTGGCACAAAAACATTCCTTCATGAAAGTGTGAAAGTAAATAGGGATACAGGTGGACCCATTGTAACAATGAGATGTACAAGTCGTTATGTCAAAAAATGAAATTTACAACTTTGGTGGGGGGGATAGGGGGGTAAGCAGGGATGATTGAGTGGGGGGGGGTGGGGGGATGAAGGGAAGGGATGGGAAGGGGAAACAAAGGAAGAGGCTACAATGCTTGATAAGAAATGTACTCATTATATCGCCCATGTAATTGTAACTCCTCTGTATTTTCACAATATAAAATTATAAATTAAAATTAAAAGAAAGAAAGTGTGAAAGTAGAGCTCTTCATGTAACCAAACAGCTCTGGACATATCTAGAATGACTGGCTTATATAGGATCTGCAGTCTTGGTCTTGGTTTACTAATTAAGCACTTTCTGATGTAACAGACATATTTTCTAAATGCCTCCAGGATATTTTTAATTACATAACTATACTGTGGCATCTATCTTGGCTCTAGAAATTCTAATGTTAGGTCAACCTTTGTGTTTCTGTAAAAGAAGACAGTATATTTGTTGGAAGCCACCTTTTGGAAAATGGAATACTGCAGTGTTTATTACACAGCTAGCAGTGTGCAAGCAGCCTGTAGTAACAAAGACTTGCAGTCCACAAATACACTTAGACAGCTTGGAAACAGGACAGAAAGGGAAAAAAAAGAATAAAAACAACACCAAGAAACCAATCAGCACCAAGACAGTATTGAATTGGGACACTAGGATGACCAGAGACAAGCCAGGGGAAAGGACACAGGACATGATCACAGAGACATGTGGCATTGTATCTGGTGCCACTGCTGGTCAAGCCTAAATAGGACCTAAGCAGGAGGCAGGTCTACAGGAAACTCCAGTCCCAGGCATTAGACTAACAGCTTGAGTAACATATCAGCCAAATGCTCACCCCTGCTTCCAGGAAACCAGACACAACCATCTGTTGGGTGGCAAGTGATGTATGTTGTCATTTCCTTCCCCGAGCATAAATACCAGACGGCAGACCGCACCAACCACCCTGTGGCCAATAGCGCACCAGCCACACCTGACCTCCTTACTTAATATTGCTGAATTATTAAATTAATTTACAAAATGTTACATCCTCTTTATCGTTTTGTAAACAGTTAAAGAATTTGCTTTTTGTAAAAGCCATTTTTCTTGAGCCCCACCTCTGGAAGAATAATTCTCACAATCACCAAAAATTAAACGTTCTTCTTTTGAATAGTTTTATTTCTTCCTTCTTCCTCATTCCTTCCCTTCCTCTTTCCCTCTCTCACTTCCCTCCTTCCTTCTCTTGTCTCAGGGTCTAGAAGTGAGGCTGTAGCTCAGTGGCATATGGTTTTATTTTTTTGTTAACGTCAATTTTTGTGAGATTCATCAATATCTTTTTGTGCCTGATTATTTTCCCTAATGTCATATGTACATTGGCCCTCTATGAGGTAACACAGGCATGACACATCCTCCACACCGGTGTTTCATTATAGCTTACTCAGCAGAACATCGTAATGGGCTAAGAGTGAATCAATCACAAGTTGCTCATCACCAGTGATTAAATAAAGAAAAGATCAAGCACTGAAGACACTTTGGGGTTCTGCCCCAAGGCAAAATGCAGAGACACTTGTCTTTATTTATCAACCATATTTTTTCATTTGTTCTTTTTTTTTTTTTTCGTCCAGTCCTGGGGCCTAAACTCTGGGCCTGTGCACTCTCCCTCAGCTCTTCAGCTCAAGACTAGTGCTATACCGCTTGAGCCACAGCACCACTTCCAGCTTTTTTCTTTTTGCTAATGTAGTGCTGAGGAATTGAACCCAGGGCCTCATGCATGCAAGGCAAGCACTCTACCACTAAGCCACCTTCCAAGCCCTCCACCATATTTTTTTAAAATATATATTGTAGATATACTATATAGATTCGTTATACCATTATATGAGTTAGGTCATGAATACATTTCCTATTGAGCATTGTTACCCCTCCGAGAAAGACTTTACTACTATGTATGTACTGCAATAAGGACTAATATCTTCCATTAGATCTTCCATGCAGAAACTGAACTGGAGTAAGTTAGGCCTTTGTACTATAAGGCATGGATCACACATACGGAGGGAGACTTAAGGGAGCAGTAGAAAAATGATTGTTCTCATGTTCTTGCCTCCAATCATCACATTCTTTACCCATCTATTGTTCCCCTAACCATTTTGGAGATGACCTGAATCCAGTCCCAAAGGGCCAGAGCTCATGTTTCTAAGAAGAGTTTATCAAATTACCCTTGACACACCATTCCTTAGTATAAAAGACACAAGTTAATAACTTGAATCTCTGAATTACTTGTTGTGATTGGTTGCTTCCACATGCTTTGGATAATATTGAAGGACACCATATCCACTCAACACGATGAGAGGATGAGAAATGTTGGCTCAAATAAAGCTGAAGAGTGAAGAATGGTTTCCCATCATACCTAGCTTACCTCTGCCAGGAAGCATTTCTCTATATAATTTATATAGGTTTTCTGACAAATGTTTTCCTACATTGGGCTATTTTCCTGGGTGAATGTTTTACTAATTGCTAAAGGAAGGCTTCTGGTTGAAACACTTCCTCTCATGTTTATATTTACAGAAATTCTGCCATGTGTCCCGGTCTCTGGAACCTGTACAGATGTGGCTTCTGGCAAAATGTTTTCTATACTCATAATTTCTTTCCTGTCTATGCTCTCACATATGCTCAGGATTCAATTCTGATTGAAAGTCATTTCACATAGGTTCTATGCACTACTTTCTTTTCTCCTATGTGAGTCAGTTCTCTGATGAACATGAGGTATTCCTTTCTGATCAAAGGATTTCCACATTTGTAATATTTGTAAGATTTCTTCAGTGTGTGTGTTCTATGAACTTGGATCCATGAACACTTGGTAAAAGACTTTCCACATTTGTTACATTTGTATTTTCTCATCTGTGTTTGTTCTCTGATGGAAACTGAGTTAGGACTTTTTCTTGAAAACCTTTCCATTTACTTTTCCTATGTAGGATTTCTATCCTCTTTGTGTGAGAGGGTGTGTCTCTGTCTGTGTGTTTTGTGTGTTCTGTGATGAACCCTGACCTGTGTTTTCTAGTTGGAGGACTCCAAGTCGGCTATATCATAAGGTCTCTATCCTGTATTATTTCTGTATTGCAATTTCAATTTTCTTACAGATCGAAAACTTTGCCCATTTGGTACAATCCTAAGTTATTTCATTTGTGTGAATCAACTTATGTGTGTTAAGCTGTGACCTCCAGGTCTTTCCACACTGGTTGCATTCATAAGGTTTCTCTCCTTGTGTTCTGTGATGGATGGTAAGGTGTGCTTTACAGGTGAAAGAATTTCCATGCCTGCTACATACATAACATTTCTCTCTGGTGGGTTTTTTTCTGATGGACAGAAAGTTGTATGATCTGGGTGAAAGATTTTCCATATAGCTTACATTCATAAAATTTCTCTCCTGTGTGTGCTCTCTGGTGGACAGTAAGGTGTAGCTTCTGGCTAAGACTTTCCACACATATGACATTCATAAGGTTTCTTTCCTATGTGTCTTTTCTGACGGACAGTGAGGTTTGACTTCCAGGTGATAGACGACACACATGTTACATTCATAAGGTTTCTCTCTTGTGTGTGTGGTCTTGTGGCCAGTAATGTATGACTTCTTGGTGAAAGACTTTCCACACCTGTTACATTCGTGAGGTTTCTCTCCAGTGTGTTCTCTGATGTCTAGTAAGCCTTGATTTCTGGGTGAAAGACTTTCCACACACATTACATTCATGAGGTTTCTCTCCTGTGTGTGTTCTCTGGTGTCTAGTAAGATATGCCTTGCAGGTGAAAGACTTTCCACAAATGTTACATTCAAAAGGATTCTCTTTTGTGTGTGTTCTCTGGTGAACAACATGCTTTGGTTTCTGGATGAAAGAATTTCCACACACATTACACTCATAGGGTTTCTCTCCTGTGTGTGTTCTCTGGTGGACAGTGAGGTTTGACTTCCAGATGAATGACTTTCCACACAAGTTACATTGAAAAGGTTTCTTTCCTGTATGTGTTATCTGATGGACAGTGAGACTTGACTTCCAGATGAAGGACATTCCACACAAGTTACATTCATAAATTTTCTCTCCTGTGTGTGTTCTCTGGTGTCTAGTAAGGTATTCCTTGCAAGTGAAAGACTTTCTGCAAATGTTACATTCAAAAGGTTTCTCTTTTGTGTGTATCCTCTGGTGGCGAGTAAGCTTTGATTTCTGGGTGAAACACTTTCCACACATGTTACATTCATAAGGTTTCTCTCTAGTATGTGTTCTCTGGTGGACAGTAAGGTATGCCTTCTTGACAAAAGACTTTCCACACACGTTGCATTCATAAGGTTTCTCTCCTGTGTGTGTTCTCTGGTGGACAGTGAGGTCTGACTTCCAGTTGAAAGACTTTCCACAAATGTTACATTCATAAGGTTTCTTTCCTGTGTGTGTTCTCTGGTGGGTAGTAAGGTTTGACTTCCAGGTGAAAGACTTTCCACAAATGTTACATTCATAAGGTTTCTTTCCTGTGTGTGTTCTCTGGTGGGTAGTAAGTTTTGACTTCCAGGTGAAAGACATTTCACACATGTTACATTGAAAAGGTTTCTCACCTGTGTGTCTTTTCTGGTGGACAGTAAGGTGTGACTTCTGGGTGTGACTTCTACACACATTACATTCATATGGTTTGTTTCCTGTGTGAATTCTAAGGTGCACAGTAAGGTATGCCTTACAGGTGAAAATCTTTCCACACATGTTACATTCATAAGGTTTCTCTCCTGTCTGTTTTCTCTGAGGGATGATAGGGTATGTTTTCTCAGTGAAAGACCTTTCACATTGTTTATATTCTTCAACTACAGAAGGCACATGAGGACTATATGCAGCACACATCTTACCAGGTTCACTGAAAACACCCATGTTCTGACACCCAGTGACCTTTTCTGTCCTCATTCCTAAGGAGTTCCCATTATTCTTAATCAGTTCTGACTTCTGTTTTGAGCTCAAATTAAAACTTTTTATAAGTCTCACTTTTTCCTCCCCTGGGTTACTATTCATGACTGCTACTTCAGAGAGATATTTATTGTGACTTTCCTGACAGGGGCTAATTTCATCCTCCTTTTCTGGGACATCTAAAATGAATAACAGGAAAATAGACAAAAACATAAATGAGATCCATAAATTCCTTAATGTAAAGGTATTTTCTCACACTCTGTTACAAGATTTTCAAATATCAAAGCATTCCTTTATGCAGAATATATATTTTCTATGTAATGTAGTAATTAAGAAAGTAGTACTGACATTTTACAATGGAAAATAATGTTTTTCTGTATTTAAGGTTTTTCTTTTTTTCTCAAGGAAATATTTACTCAAATTATTCATCTGTGTACTTTTAATGCTTCCATTCTGAATCTCACTCTATGCACAGCATAACTGATGAGAAATTGTCACATCAGAGGATAGCAGCCCTAGCATACTCCTATTTTCCTCCTAACTTCATAATACTAGTTTAAAAGAAAATGAGATCTCCTTTCTACATTTTTTATTGTCTTTTTCTCATTATGAATGACTTCTCTATAGAAAAAGAGAATTGCTAACATTAACTACACTGGCACACCAAATTCAGTTTGTCTCCACGTGAATTCTGGATTTACAATTCCTTGAGACAAAAGATCACCTACTTTTCTGCTACACATGACTCAGGTGTACAAGGCATATTTCCCTCTAAACAGTTCAAGATAAACAGACCAATAGGCTTTGGACCAATCATCACCTTCAAGATGCTTTAACTCACCTGTGAAATTCTCTTCTGAGTCTTCTCTTATCCATGGATCTGTACCTTGCTCCAGCTTGACAATCAATTTAGGTTTAGGAACACAGAGGCCTGTGATTAAGAAAAAGTGGAGAACTATTGTTCTTGCTGGGTCATCATTAATATAAGGTTGCAGATATCCTGCTTACAAGGTTGCTCCTAAATCTGCTTTCTCAATTGTTTTATTTTTTGGTGGGTGGGTTCTGTTGTGGGGCCTGAACTCTGGACCTGGGAGCTGTCTCTCAGCTCTTAAGTGCAAGGCTAGCACTCTATCACTTGAGCCACAATGCCAATTCCAGATTTTTTTATGCTGATGTGGTGCTGAGCAATCGAACACAGTGCCTCAAGCATGCAAGACAAGCGCTGTACCACTGAGCCACCTTCCCAGCCCATGGTTTCTCAATTCTTAACAGCTCCATGGTGGAGTAGCATTCAGCTTTGGGTTTATTTTGCTAAATGTGTGGCTTGAACTCAGCTCTTTTGCTAAAAGCTAGCATTCTACTAGTTTGAGTCTTGGCTACATTTCTAGTTTTTGAATGGTTAATTGGAGATAAGAGTCTCATGGTCATTTTTCTACAGCTGCTGGTTTCAAACTGAAACCTTCAGATGTCAGCCTCCGGAGTATCTGGGATTGGTAGCTTGAAGCACTAAACCCTGTAGCAGGTTGAGCTTACAAATACACAGTTTTACTAATTGATTTCCAGAGCATACTGTCAGTTGTAATGTATGTTCTATTCTAGACTGTAGATCCACCTATAATAATTACCCAAGTCTGGGAAGTCAGTCTGCTATTAGTGGATCATAGCTTAGAACTTTTGTCCAACTATTGATTTGCCTTCTTAAAGAACGAGAATAAAATTAGCTCTTGTGTTACATATGATGAAGTTGAAGTTTCTTTTAGAAAAAAATAACACTTCCCATGGCCTGGAATCTTTTTTTTTTTTTTTTTTTTTAGAAATTGTAATGGTCCAAATGCTTACACCTGTAATCCTACACTTAGGAACTGAGATCAGAAGAGGCAGGCTTGAAACCAACCTGGGCACAGAAACTCAGAATATACCCCAAAACAAAAGTGAAAATAGAATGGTGGCTCAAGAACTAGTGTGAAAGACAAACAACACCAAGCTCTCAGACCCAAATTTGACTGGCTTATATACTAGCAGTTTTTTACCTAGGAATGGACTGGAATCTTCTCCCTAAATAACGCAAATAGTCTAATGTCTACTAAAATAAAAGCACTTGATCTTCCAAGTAAAAATAACCTTTGCTCACCCAAGGACATGAGGTTGCTATAAGTCTCCAGCATTACATCTCTATGAAGGGTCCTCTGACCAGGATCCAGATCCTGCCACTCCTTCCAGGTGAAGTTCACAGCCACATCATCAAATGACATCAGCTTCTGTAATGGCACATTTCCATCAAGAAATTAGACCTGGGTTATGAGAATTCCAACCTGGAATTTCATTATGCTCCAGGTATGCTTTTGTCTTACATAAAATGTTTGCAGCTAGCTTTGTTATCTATTCACTGGGAGAATTAAATACCAAACTAGAAATATTTGACAATACATAAACCGGGTCATGAAAATACACAGATTTGCAGGACGCTGGTGGCTTATGCCTGTAATCCTAGGTATTCAGGAGGCTGAGGTCTGAGGATCAAGGTTCAAGGCCAGCCCAGGCAGGAAAGTCCATGAGACACTTATCTCCAATAAACCACCAGAAAATGAAAGTAGCACTGTCACTCAAGTGGTAGCACTCACCTTAACCTGAAGAGCTGAGGGAAAACAACCAGACCCAGAATTCAAGCCCCAAGACCAATAAAAAATTACAGTTTCCATAATGCACGCAAACATATTTCTGCTGCTAGCAATAGAGACAAGATAAAAACTCTAAGGAGACAATAATCTGGCATGATAACATTAAGTCTAAGGAGGTGTCTGAAAAATAATATTATCATTTTTGATAAAATTTCAGTACATACCAGGGTAAAAATGAATTAAACCAATATTTTTCCTGTTTGGCACATACTGCTTCACCATAAATCCTATTTAGACCTTCTCTCAAAAGCAAGCAGCACACATTCAGGATATCACATGGACTACAGAACATAGAATATTGCTAGATCTATGAAAAGCAGTGTCCACATGAATATTAAAAAAAAAAAAAAACAGTAACAGTACTCCAGAAAGTAACTAATACTTGATTAGGCCCTTATAAGATTTAATTGAGTTCCCACATAAAAATATCCGTGGTTTACCATGTTTGGTTTAAATGCTAAATATTGAAATATGGTCATAGATACCCTGATATTTCCTTCCCATGTAAAAAAGAACTGTTACCATGAAATTTTGTAAACTTTGCCTACATTTTACAATACAAAATAAAGGTGGAGGGAAAAAAATGTTCCTTACAAGGTTTTCATTTTAATAGGCCTTCATGGAAGGTGAAGGCAAATATAGAGAGGCTCAAGGAACACTCAAGATGACAAAAATGATAAATATGACCAAATGCTCAAATGCATCACATATTCCTGAGTCCTTTCTCCAGTAGATCTCTAAGCTTATATTTTCACTTGTGTTAGTTAATAGTGAAATACCTCAGAGATCAAAATCAATTAGTGAGCAAACATCTGTGAGATGTTGTGACAAGTGATATTTCTAATAGAGAACATCTCGTCAATGTATTATTTTTTTCAACACTAGTTCCAATCTTATACTGGCAGTGAATTAAAATATTCAAAAGTAGTGGGAAGGAAAAACAAAACTGAATACCACATCAAATGTAGTTAGACCAACACAAAATCAGGAGAAAACAGTTTTCTTGTAGTGTATCAATTGGTAGAAGGAAGTACTTTTCTGTAGGGAAATCTAAAGTTGAGCTGAAGGGGAAAAGATTTGAGAGGTTGGAATTCCAGCCTGACAGCACTGAGAGAACTGAGAGCTGGCCGCAGAAGGGTTAAAAGAGAATTCTGGAGAGGGTTAAGAGACTGGAGTACAGGCCTTTTCCATACTGTTGGAAAGATAGCATCTGAAACAGGTGCTGTTGACCTTGACGGCTAGGTAAGGTGAACTCCATGTCTGCATTTTCTCTTGACGTCAGTCTTCTGTCTCAGGAGAATAAGGAAACATGTTTTCCTCACAACCTGTTTTGGCTCTGATTGTACTATTAATATAGATACTTCATTTTTGCATGTTATCAATGGTAATCTTCCCTGTGTGAACGCAAGGAACTATGCTAGCTTGCTGGCACCCAGGGACAAAGTGCCAAAGAGCCTGCAGAACCCTGGTTTTTCCTAAGTCTATCTGTTTATGTTTTTGTGTTTCTCTAATTTTCTTTGTTTCTGGAATCCTGTAGAACTCTCTAGGCAACAATTTTCCTATATGATGGGTAAGAAAAATGTCAATCCTAAGAGCCATGTCAGCAACATAAAGCTGATCACTAAGAAAATCTTGTTCCAGATAGATCATTTGAAGAAAAGAAACAACTGAGACACATATGGAGGAAAGAGGGATTGAAAAAAGATAAAAATGATAAAAGGTAGATACAAAGAGAGAGTAAGAAAAATAACCAACACTAGTGAGTAGAAAATCAAAAATAGAGAGAGAAAATAGAGGAAAGAAATCTTGTGAGAATACTTTAGAAAACAAACAGGAATGTGTAGAAAGACCATAAAG